GGTTTGGAAGTATTTTTAGCAGGAAAATAAAAAAAATAGGAATTCTTTTTTCAAATTGATTCAGAAGGAACATTTATCAAGATGCTGCTTATTTAAATATTTAACAAATAATTAGCTTACAATGTAACAAAAATCCATTTGTTAATCCTGAAGAATGTGAAGGAAAAAGTATTTTTAAAAGGCTACCTGGAAGCTGTACAACATTAAAAAAGCTTGTCATTTATATTGTTCTCAAAAAATGGTAACAGATAAACATGTTTATAATTCTTGAGCATTGTAGATGAAAAGTGGCTCAAGTTGGTTTTGAGTAACAGGAAAATGAGATTTTATCATGTATGATGAAGCACAGGAGAAAAGAAAGGGTTTTGAGGTTTTATTTTGCTATCATTAAAATTCTGGCTATCATTATTTTGGCCATCATTAAAATTTCTCCCAGTAAGGGACAAAATCACCAAACTTTATGCTGCAGCCTTGACTGAATCCTGTGCAAGAGCTATTGCAGCGCAGAATCACAACTCGGAAGTCAGTAGGAGTTTCTTGTATCTGAGAGCAGAATTTAGTGTCTTGTGCTGTTCCAGGCTTGGTGTTGGGCTTGCTCCTAATCATTGAGGAGGGTTCTGGTAGATGTCAAGTGAAGAGAAGAATAGAGCACGCATCCTTCACCACTCAAGCCAGACAATGAAATTAGAAAATGGCACTGAGAGTTGCTGTGAGAGAATTCCCCTAGATTTCTAGAGGAAAAATAAAACTAGAATGTATTGATTAAAAAAAAAAAGATAAAAGAAAAAATTAAAAAAGAGAGCAGAAAGGAAGAGGGGGGGGAAGGGGAAAATAAATCAGAGAGACCTTGCCAGAGTCCTCCTCAAAACCTATCTAATAATAAAGTCCAAAATTAAAAGCTGTATTGTCTTTTTACATAAAGGCATGTGTACTTACTGTTTCTTCTTAGTTTCTGGTTCTGCATTTTTCAAATCTCTTACCGAGCATTTTGCATGCATATGATGTTTGCAGCACTACCCGCTCTTATTTGAAGACTGTTTTCAGAAGTCATTATTGAACTATAAGATAAAAAGGTATAAGCATAATTACGTGTTAAAGAGAATAAATATGTTCTGCTAGATAGTTAACCAGGTGAGGTTAAACAAGATAAGATGAATTCTGGTCTTTTTAGAAAACTGACAGTCTTCATTTTAAGCTACAATGTAAAGTGCTTTATCCTGAGATTAGGTATTGTGGCAGAAGCGAAAACTGCCTTTTTCCCCTAACCGTGCCAGAATACAACCTCCTTTTCTTTCTGCGCTAACAAGACTGCTTTACCACCACAGCCCACTCTAAGTAATTAAATCAATCCTTTGTACTTACCGTATTCTCCTCTAGTGACGGTACTAGATCTGATTATATGCTTCATGCATATTCAAAGTACGGCACTGACAGCTCTTTAATGAGCTCTTACTTAATCAGTACGAACAATGTTCATCTTGTTCTTTTTTTCCTCATACATTAGAGCTAGGAACAGTTGGGGAAAAAATGAAACATCCAGCATTCATTTGAAAAATATATTGTACTTTGAAAAGTGTCTAAGCTGGGGAAGTTGCATTCTGCCCTTTAAAAGTCTGATGGACAAATTGGATTACTAGTATTGGATTAAATAACAAATGGTTAGAGGAGAAATGAGAAAAGCTCTCTGTGATCACAGGCTTTAATATTTTTTGTTACTTATAAAGCTGAAGGGGTCTTTAACCAGTTATTAAAGTCAGGATTAATTTGTAATGGTCCAACTTACTAGCTTTAAAAGGGTTTTGTTGTTGTTGTTTTTATCGAAAACAATAGTGTAATGCATGTATTATGGAAAAAAATTTAAGTTTAAGATCTGTGGGCTATTTATAGATTTTCGTCATCTTGTACTGGCTCAGATAAGGGGTTTGCATGCATGGGATCGATTTGTTCTCAAACATGTTTTTCGTGTCATTTAAATAATCTGTACAGTATTTTGTTTTACTGAGAACCACACAGATATTTTCCCAATTTTAATTTTCAAGCATTTGTAGTCAATTATGTACTTGTTTTACACTTTGAAAGTGGAACCAAAACCAACCCCAGCAGCGGCAGGGTTTTACAGAGTGAAGCTGTGTTGAAGAAACGCTTTTTCTAAATTTTTTATTTAGAAATTGTAAGTGTGAGTTTAGCATGTGATATCTCTGCATTAACAACACTCAGTTTTTCTTTGTTGAAAGTGTTTTGCTTGCATCCTTCCACCAAGGGGGAAAAAAAAAAAGAAGTAATGCTCCAATGGTAGTGTATTTGCTGAAAAGAGTTATTTACATTTCTTATGTATGAGAGTTCATCTTTATTTTGCTGGCCTAGGAAGAAACTGTTTCTGCTCCATGTGCAAGAATTTAAAAGCTGACGGTCAACAAATGAAATATCAGCATTGACTGCTATTAATATTGCACACATGTGTCATTTCACTGATCAAAAAGGCCTTCGCCAGGGTACAATTGGCCTTTTTCCAAATTGCAAGCTTTTTCTCGGCTTTTTCTTTTTTCGTCTTTCTTCTTTTGTTGCTGCCCGGGGATTTGTGCCTATCGCAGCCGATATCACATGACCAGTGTCAGGGCATCACATGGGTCCAAAGTGAATACAAAAACAGATTAAAAATTCTGTAAAAACAATCGACACTTTGTTAACTCGCTTTTAAACCAGCCTATTCTATGGATATTGCGTGTGCTTTGGTGTCAGCGTGGAAATATCAAAATAGGCACCTGCTCAGATCTGACTTGACAGCTCCAAGCTTTACCTAGAGCTTTTCTCGTTATATCTTGCAACTAACTTTATTTAAGAGGAATGCATTAACAGAAAGAAGTTTATGTTCTTACTCTGAGATTCTATGGCATGAAGTGCAAGTTCAGGTCCGCTGTTGAGTCAAACTCCTTTGAATAATATCTGTCTCTCATTTCTTTTTCAAGGCTTGCAAAATGAAATGCAGCAAGAGCTTGCATTTGTAATGGCATCTTTTAGCCAGAGATCCCAGACCACCCCAAAGTCAACAAATTTAGTGTCATAAATTGAGTTACTATGTTACTATGACCATGTATGTCTGGTTGTGAGAACTTTTTTCACTGGCGATCTATTTTTTTTTGTGTGGCAGCCTCATGCGTCAAAGAGTAGACCAGTCATTTTGCAATGATAAAAAAAGGCAATCTATCCCCTTTTTCTTTCCCTTTCCCCCAAATAAATTTCACCTACTTGGTGCATTTCAGTGAAAGGTTGCTAATAACAGCAGGGTTATAAGTGGATATGGGGAGGATGTCTCGCATCAGAAAGAAGAGCATGCCAAGTAGCGTAACGTTTTCTTACTTTGTGGGTCCACCAGCTCCACCCCAAGCTGACCGACTTCCCTGTTCATCTCCTTTTCCTTCCCTTGGGCACCAATCCCGCTGGCCACTGGCCTGTCTTGCATGCAGCGGGGTCATAGACTAGTGAGGAGGTGGCTCTCCTTGCAGATCTGGACTTGCACACTGCTGTGGCATTGGAGTGTGAACGTGCGCGTGGCAGGCACATACATGCAGGCATTTCAAATGCTCCCATCCAGAAATTGCAAGCTTTTCTTTAGAGCAAAACAGTATTCTTCTGGTGTCTTTCCAGCTTCTGGTGCTGGAAATTGCTTCTCTACAACTAGGGATCTTACAGTTTAAGTTAATGAGATAGCTTCCTTGAGTGTACAGCACCTTGCATCAGAGATTTCAAAACCCTTTGCAAACACCAAAGAATTAACCTTTAGCACCCTTGCAACATGGGTAGGGGTGATTACCCCCATATTACACACAAGGTGCTTAAATGCAGAAATCTGCCTGCGTCCTCCCAGTGAAGCCATGTTGAAGCTGGGAGAAGTACTCAGAAGTCCCAGCTCATGGTCCTTTGCCACTGTTCCAGGCTTCTTCCTAGATTAATTTTAACCGTAAGAAGTATGTGAGTTTCATAATTCAGTGAGGACCATAAAGTCATTGCTCCTCAGCTCGACTTAGGAGATGAGAATAACAGGTCACCACAGACGTGCAGTCTCCACAAAGGAACTGGATGAGGTCTCTTCTAGTCCCTAAGCTCAGAGAGAGTGAAATTTGGCTGAGCGACCCTGCTACATGGAAAGGACAGTCAGGAGCCTTCTGGGCGCTCATCTGCCTTTCCCTTACATGGCCTGATGATGCAGAGGTGGTAATGTAGATTCTTAGAAAGTCTGGTAAAATATAGCACTGCCTGCAGGTAGGCTATGGAGGGTCCTGATCCTGCCTGGAAGGCAGTGATGGACATGGGCTGGAGAAAGGGGCGCTAGTCCATTTATACACACATGGGGACCCTTAGGCACCTGGACCCCAAAATGATTTGTATTTGTGCAGATTCTCCCTTTGATTGTGGATTGAGGAAAGGAGCAACGCTTTCCAGCTCATCATCTGGACTCTGGCCATAAGCGAGCAGGTGCCCACGCCTTGGCCAGGGGTTCAAGATTGCCGTCTCCTCTGCAGCTACTTTGATCCCTACCAAATCATCCTGACTGCACTAGGTTTGCATGGGTGGAGTGGCTCTTGTCCACAAGCGTTGTTTTTGTGCTTGGAGGCCTGTGATGACCAGACATCTTTTAGCAGCAAGTTTTTTTTCATTGGGAACATAGCAAGAATACAGTTCTCTCAAAATAATTTTAAAGATACAGCACTTTTAAAAAGGTGTTTATTCAGGTTGAGGTATCAGCATGGTAAAGAACACTAACATATATAGAATATATAGTAGAATATATAGTATATAGTATATAGAATAATTTTGCTTTCAAAGATTTATTTATGGAAAAAGCAGTAATGAGCTTCAGGACTTGTATGATATTTTTACAATTTTAGAGTCTGCCTTGTGATGCTCAATGATATTGGAGACTGATACTCCAAAACCTGAAATGAAGGATGTAGCTCAATTTGTGAAATGCCACGTAAGTAATGAGATTCTTTTGATTGCAGGAAGAAACACTGAAGAAGAAGAAGCGATGATGCAGGAATGGTTCATGCTGGTTAATAAGAAGAATGCCTTAATAAGACGAATGAACCAGCTTTCTCTTCTGTAAGTACGGACTGATATGTGTACTTACAAAAGGATGTTTTACTGGAATATGTACCCAGCAGATAGATGCAAAACTTTTTTGTTTTCTTCACATTAGACCTCCAAAATGTTCCCTCAAAGTGAGTATCACGGATGCTTTGTGAAGCACATCAAGTAACTTATTTCTCTCATATTTCAGACTTGAAAATGAGAAGCATGCAATGACACAAGATTAGCCAGAGCTGTGAAAAAAAATAATTAAAGAAATATTAAGCACAGTTACATTTTCAAAGACCCAGCAGTAGAATAAAATTACATTTTAGAAATGCGCAAATAGATCTGGATTGTGCCTCAGATGTGGCAGGTGAAGACTTTGGAGAGAGAGCAAAACTTGAGTCGCTACCTGCTTTGTAGAAATCTTCAATCCCATCGCTAGTTCAGCACCACCGGGCTGCTGAAAGGATATTAGTGAATCAGTCATGGTGCGATGATACCACCGATACTGCAAAGTAAGGACAAATGTACTTTTTTCGGTAGCACCGGTGAGGAAGGGAGAAGACGCTGCTCGTTTTTAGAGGCGTTCTGCCCTCAGCGCTTCTTTCCCAGCTTCTTTCGGTTTGATTATATTTCTTTCAGTAATGCCACCTAGTGTAGACGGCTGCATACATCCCTGGGAAGAGTCTGTGCTCACGAATTTCCCGCCGTGTCTGAACTTGACAGAAGATTCTCCCTTCAAAATATTAAGCTTTCTAATCCTGTGTCTAATTTTCATTATTCATTAGGGCAGAGTGTATATAGGATAATACTTCCAGTGTCATATTATCTTGGTGAATAGGCTGATACTGGAATTTGTTCATTAGATCCATGGGAATGTTTTATACTTAGGACATTCCACAACAGCTGCTCCAAGGATGAGTATGAAATAATTATGTTCTGTAGCACAATAGAGTTAAACTGACAGAATTAAAGCTGACATTATAGAAAATGAAAAGGCCCTGTTACTGAATATGCCACCTGAGCAAGGTTTTAAGTTTGTGTATCATTTGTTTGGAGTAGCTTAAAGTTAAAGAGAAAAGTCAGTTATGAGTCCTAAAATCAATGTGAGTTAAAGGTTCTTTTAAGTGTTTAATGATTTAGTAATTAACATATTGATGAACTTTTGCAACTTGCCTAGGGAAAAAGAACATGACCTAGAAAGGCGCTATGAACAGCTGAACCGGGAGCTGAGAGCAATGCTTGCTATTGAAGGTAAGAGCAATGCTCGATATGGTACCAAAGGAAGGAAAATGCTTGCTGCCGAGGGTGGCTACCTGAAAGTACCAAATGTGGAGGCTTTTCTGAAACCCAATTAAGAATTAACGCTGATATTTACATCGTTTCAAGTAACAGCACACAGCAAATATATGGGGTCCGCGATCCCATTCTTAAGTTGTAATTGGAAAAAAAATAAGGAAGTCCAAGATATGGGACAAAGAAACATGGTCTCCTTGGAATAAACTTCGAAAAAAGTGGTGAGGAGGTAAAGAGTATTTGCCTGGGGTTTGTTATTTTTTGTTGCATTAATGCTCTCCGGGCCTTCCTGCAGCATTGCGCTGCTTTGGGTGCCACAGAAAATTGAAGGGGTGATCCACAGAAGGGAGCCTCCTTCTTTTTAACTCTTCAGACCTGGTTCACAACCGTATCTCACTGGGGGGGTTTGCGGGAAAAAGTCTCATTGGTTTTGGTGGTAAAACGCTGCGTTTGCCAAGTAAATATTTCATTGCAAGCAACACCAGGATTAGTACAATCCTTTGCACAGATTTTCTCCCTTCTCTGCAACTCTCCCGAATTTAGTCACCTTACCTGAATGAAAACTCATGGGAAGATTGACACACGGGATAAATGAAACAATTGCGTCCTTTCCATAGGGCTTTCAAGTGAATTGTACAATAATCCTGGGGATGATTCATAATAAAAAATAAACATCCAGATAGCTTAAACCATTGCTTGCATTATTTTCTTATTTAAATATCTTAAGTGTTTTCTAATGCTGCACAGCTTATACCTCTCAGTCACAAATGCTGTCTTATAGTTCAAAGATGTTTGCTTAAAAGTTAATCCTTTGGGCTCTGTAAAATGGACCTTTTGTCTAATCAATGCAAATTGATTTTGCTATTCTGTATTGACCTCTCAGCCCTTTGACTGTCCATGGTAATTTCTTTCTTCACCTGATAAGGTACCTGATCCATAATAAATCAAATCTAATTAGTTTGGAGACTTCACTGGGAACATAAGTTTGTAGGAAAAAAGCGGCAGGTTACAGGTAGTTTTTTCGTAACTCTCCATCTGTGGTTACATTTTTTGCATAAGACTGCGTTCACTATATTCTTGGATAATCTTGAGGCATATATTATATACATTGCTTCCTGCAGAGACAAGCCAGATTAATTGGGAATCAAACTAATGAAATATCTAAAACATAAAATACTCTAAAACCAGAGAGGAGCTAAGAGATGCTGGTTTTGAAACAGAAATTTCAATGTTGAATTACCTCTTATCTGTTTTATTGTCTTGGAACATCCTACCAGCAGCCTTTAAATGTCTCTCAGCCTATACCATTCACACGTTGACTTGAGCAAAAAATCTGTCCTTTTTTCGAGTTCAGAGAGAGATACCAAAACCCAGAAGGGTCCCTTTTTTTTTTTTTTTTTTTTTTTTTTTGTATTGCTGATGATATGGTAAAACAGGGGTTCAGGGAGAAAACGTAAGTGCTGGAGAATTTTGGTTTTATTTTGTATTTATGCAACAAAGTCTGTGTTCAGCAGTTTAACTCTCAATAAGATTATTAGTCTGCTAGAAGTTTTAGCAGCTATCTGCTTTTACCTAAAGAAAAAATATTAAAGGAGAAACACTCTCAAGGAATTGCCTGTGAAATGTTGAAATATGCATTCATGACAACTTGCCTCTCAATGTGTGTGTCATTTTCTGTGTCCAACATATGCTGGAGTGCAAAGATGCACTTTTGGGAAGCACTGGTAAAACCACACCATTTATAATATGGTTTCCCTGAAGAAGCATGGGCTGCTCGCACAGCCCGGCACAGCACTCTCTGCTCCGAGGCCCTTTAGCCGGTTCCTAATGAGTGCTTGGGCTCCGTGAATGAGTTGAAAAGACAGATAGCATTTTTAGCAACACCAATTTAAAACCCGAAATATATGGGCAGGAAAAAAAAAAAAAGCGTGTAACAGGATGGGGCTGGTTTGTTTGTCTGAAGGAAAGGCAGAACGCAGCAACTCAAACTGGAACTTAAAAAAGTAAAGTCTTTGAAAGGTGATAATTACTGTTTTGGTAAATTGCTGTAACTCTTCCGCGCGTGACTGTGCTGTTTAAAAATCTATCAACCAATTTACTTCACTAGTTGGTGACAGGGTAAAAAAAAGAAAAAAAGCAGCAGTGCCTCGCAGAAGGTAGCAGCCTGCTGATCGCAGATAAAGGCGGTTTATTGGCGCCCGGCCTGCCCTGCCTGCGCAGGCAGCGTGTGGGCAGCGCTGGCGTCTGGAGGTGCTGACCGTTATAATGTTCAGTGATGTGGAGACAGTGTCCTCTTAGCCAGCCGCTAAAATGGAGGCGCGGGCAGCTGAATGGCCTTTTGGAGTGTTGCGGCACTTCACGCGGAACACATGAATGACCCGGGGTGGTAAAAAAAGGCGTCCTCTGCTTAGCCGTACAGATAGGAAAGAGAGAGTTAACGTGCTAGAAAGTGTTCCTCTCTTTCCGCTGCTGAGGCTGCTCCGACCAAGAAAGGCCTGAAATCCTTGCCTAGCAAATCAAAGAAAATATAGGTTACTGGGTTTGCTGTAACCTGCGCACATCGGAACACGTTTTGGCTGCCTGTTTGGGAGCCGGCCGGCTCGTGTAAACAAGGTGCTACGTTTCAGAGCCTGATTTTTTTCCGCGGCCGAGTGGCGGGATGCCTTACTTTCAGCTACCTTTCCTCTCACTCCTTTCTTTTTTTTTATTCATTCGAGATTTAATGCTTCCTTAGAAAAGATAAGTTCATTTTTGCACACCTTGGGGTGGTGTGTTCATTTTCTGCCCAAGAAATGGATCTTCTTTCGGATTTTGTACATCTTGATTTATTCTTGGCTTATAGTTTGAAGTGGGTGCTCTTCTAAAAGGATTTATGCATAGGTTCACTATTTTTGTAGTTATGGTTTATATGATAAGCTTTTTATATTTAAAATCAATATGTAATCCTGTGGAGGAGCTTATCCTCTAAAACCCCATTTGTAAATCTATTTTAGCTTTGTTACACCGCACAGCCACAGTATTCCATAGATTGATTAGGTTTAGCAGCAGAATCCTATCAAATGGCCTGCTCTGATGATGATGCAAACTCTTTCAGGATTGCTAGTTGACTGGAACTAAAGATAAGACCTGACTGCAATCCCCCAATGTGCTCTTTACAAAACTAGTGTTAATTTTCATCAAAGTGCTGGGCTTATTTATTATAGTGGCGAGGTTGAAGGTTTTACTACGAGAACTTTCGACCATTTCTATTAAAGCATTTCTATGGGAACCGGACGCCTGTTTGCTCAAAGTAATTATCAGTTGAAGCCGTGGGGGGGTGGGGGGGGGAGGGAGACAATATGAAGTCAATGAAGGTGAATAATTGAAAACATTTCTACTTTAACGTGAATTTAGCGAACTCTGTCATTTTAAACTGCCCATCGCAAGCAGTGGCATGGGGGGCTTTAGCTTTCAACACTTTTAGCTCATATACAGCCTCAGAGCTTAATCCTATTTTTGTCCAGAGTGTAGCTTTTATAACAGTATTATTCTGAAATCTCCAAATTAATCACAGCCCATATTGTAGCTTCCCAGAGCTGCAGTCAGCCTCGGTAACTATATGTGACAGGTGGTATAGGTAATCCTGGCTTAAAAGGCACAACAGGTAGGAATCAAACTTGGGCACGGTCACTTTTTTAAACATAAGGATGGTTCCCGAAACTGCTGCCCTGCAGTATTTTGTTGGGTAAAACAAAATAGCAGTGTAATCACATAGAAAATATTAACGAAATACTTTGTGCCTGTTCCTCTTTTAACCAATTGTTACTTGACTGTATTTATTTTTAGGAGGGGGTGGAAGTTAGGCTTTTCTGCCAGCAAGTTTTCCCATGGCTTATTTCAAACAGAAATAATAAACAAATGCAGAAACAGACAAACAAAAACCCCAACCAGTTTTGTTCTGTGAAGTCCCGATGTGATGTTATTTAACCCACAGGGCTGCAAGATGGAGCAACAAAAACCACAGCTCTTAGAAAGGGACTTAGCGGAGAAAAAGAATTTTTCAACTAAGTGAAAATTATCAAAATTGCAAAATAATTAAATCGAGTCCAGGTAGAGGCAGTGGATTTCAGGTCCCTTTTCACCCAGGGCTTCATGTGCCCAGATGTGCCGGGGAGCCCGAGACTCAGCACAATCATCCGCAGAAGCGTGAGAGGGCGAAGTTAACCTGAAAGTTGGGGGGGAGCAAACACCCGTGAAATTCTCCGCCGTGTCTGTTTCCTCCCTTTCTCTCCGCTGTTGCCCTTCGCAAGGCGATTTCGTCGCGCTGGGGTTGCCCTGCGCATGCAGGGGCTTTATTTTGCGGGTAAAACCCTCCCGTCTGGGGCAGCGCTGGCTCTCGGAGCGGTGTGTTTCAAACGGGGCGAACTGGAGGAGCCTTCCCTAAAAGGAGTGAAAAGCGCAAAGCAGGGCTGGAAAGCGAGAGAGCGCCTGGAAAATTCGCACCGGAAAGGCTGCTACCCGAATTAAAACAGCTTTGTCGCGGGAGAAATGGCTTAGATTCCCGGGAATTTGGGCTGGTAGCTTCAGCTGTAATCTAGGTACACCTGGAAAATTATTTCCTTAACAACAGTGCGGAGGGGAGAAACACATTTGGATATGAAAGGGAAATGGTAAAAGGAAAAGGTGAAAAAGTGGAACCGGCGGGAAATCTGGGCAGCCCCGCCAGGC